TGGAAAACTCTGGAAAAGGTCACCAAACCTGACAGGACCACAGCTGGCTGGACTATTGGTTAGGTGCACTTGAGAATGCCTGGATTTAGAGAGCAGTTTAACCAGCTCCCCCAATACCTCACTAAGTCCCCCAAATTTCTGTAACCCAATGTCTTCGGGTATAAAATGAGTATCGTTAACAGAACCTACTGATAGCCATAAGAACCTTCAGGACTATTTAGCCCTCAGAAGAAAAAGATAGCTTTGTTTCTATGAATTTCAACTGAAAAATTAATCCGGTTATGAGGGAGGTTGGTTCTACTTCAATGTTGGTCCAGGTACCAATTCTACCATGTCCTAGCATGTTACAGCAGACCTTAATCTACACAGACCTCAATCCACTAAACTTTTCAATCGGAGTGGAAAAAGCCATCTTTAGATTCCCAATGCACTTTAAGTGATGTGAATGTATTTACACAGCATCACCTACTTCAGCCAAAATGTTAAGATCAGAGTCGGTTATCAGACAGGCCATCTCAATAATCTGATCCTTCTCAATGTCCAATCCTGTCATCTGCAAAAAAATAAATAAGAAATAAAATAAAAGCATATAACACATGAAATCATTTTTTTTGTAAACCTCTTCGGCCCAAGTTTAATAGAGGTTCCTTTGTGCGAACCCTGCTTACATTCTAGGATCAGCAATGACTGATCCCTGGGCAGTATGGAGGTAGTAAGTTCTGAGCGCTCCGAAACTGCAACGGACACTCTAAACAGTGAGCTAGAGCTATTGGCAAACATGTGTTTGTCCTGGGAACAGCAGCAAGGTAAACAAGAAAGACACAACGGTCGATTACAAAAAAGGTGAGCTCACTAACACTACCTATCTGAAGTTTATGAAAGTTTCCTATTTGTTCCAACATCTGATCTTTCATCATAATCTAACGTAAAAAGTTAACTAAACTTTTTGTAAGGAGAAAAGTGGGACTCGGGGCAGGCCCAGGTGTGAATGTGTTAAAACTAAAAAGGGTTCTGTTCCCAGTGCACTTTGAGTAACTTGAATCTTCAACTGGGGCCTCAATTTTCTCTTTTATGGAATGAGGGGTAGGGCTGAGTCATCTCCTGAGTACCAACTTGCTTAAGCAACCTAGTTTTTTAAGGCTGGGAAGTGGGGGCGGGGGGCGCTCAGAGTCACTGTCCTCACCCCTACCCTTGATCCTGAGCCCAGAGACACTAGAGCTTTAGGCAAATTCACACCTGGGTGGAGGTCGAGGCTGTGGAAAGGGAAGACACACGGATGGCTCCACCCAGATGGAAAGAAGCCTCACAGTTCAACACAGTCCCAGAACCGCGCAGAACTCCTGGCTCGGGCTCCCGGTGCTGTGCTCACCTGCCTCACCTGACCCCCGGACCCCCGCCGCCTCCTGGAACAGGTGGGTCCTTCGGTCCCTTGCTCGACTCCCCGCACCCCCAGCCGGACTCGCTCACCTCCAGGTCCACCCAGACCATCCGCTGAGCCATGCTCTCCCCTGCCGCCATGGCTGCGCCACCTTCGCTGACACCTCGAGCCTCGAACTGCCCGTGCCTGCCACCCACGCCCCGCAACAGCCTGGAGCCCAGGGAGACGCCTAGCATCACCCGGCACGAGCCGCCACGGCCCCAGCCCCGCCGGCCCAACGCGCGCAGGCGCCACAGTCGCTAAACGTCGCAAACCCACAGGGAGGTGCCGGGAGAAGACTACAAACTCCGACATGCCGTGCGCCGACTCGCCCTCCATAGCTATGCTTGACTGCCGAAAGGGCTGGTGGGAGTGGAAGTCCTTGGTCCAGCCGCCAGTTCCCCTCCCCCGCCACGTGTTTTCGGATGTTACGGGACTCGCTTGTATTTCTTTACTAAAGTTTGTCTGTTTCCAGGAGTTATCACTCCTTAGTTTTTATTAGTTCTGAGCCGCGGTGTTGAAAAGGTTTTACTTGGAAAAAGAATCTGATTATCTGTTTAAGAATTTTTTAAAATGCATCTTCCCCTTATTGCGACCCCCCCTTTTTTTACCTGCCCCTCCCTTCCACGTATTGACTATATTTCTTATTTACTTGGAATCCGAGAGTGACGTGCTATTTTGAGCTACAAAGCCAAATCCGCCATCATCGTTTAGAAGTCCTTAAATGGGCTCGTGTCTGAAAGATGACTTTGCACATATCAGGTGTTCCATAAAAGTTCCTTTCCCGTCATTGGCAGAAGCCTTGTTTCATATTCCAGGTTGCCGAAACGTGTGGGCTGTGTTTCGGTTATTAGAGTCTATACTACTCTACCTTTAAACTTCTCAAATTATGCCCTTGTATGATTTTTGCAGCCGACAAAAACCGACTGAAATAGCTCTGCCTGATCTGTCCACTCTGATTCTGTCATCCGTTCTGGTTTTGGTCTAAAGGTTCTTAATCTCCCACTACAGCTGCGGTTTTCACCAACTCCGCTGGAAGGGGCCTCTGTCGGGATCGCTTACATTTTAGCTTAGTAGCAAACACCTCCGCAAAGGCCAGTTTTGTCACGAACGTGCTGAGTCTTGAATCACATACTCTTGTGTCTTTTTCTGAAAGTTGGGTTGCCAATAATTACAGAGCTTGTGGTTGGTGGCGTAGTAATTCCTACCTGGTGAGCTGGTTCTGTGAGACAAACACTGTTGCCTAATCAGAGCTGTAGAGATGCTGCAACCTACTAGTGGGTTTCAGCTGCTCAACCTGCCAAGCTTGGCCAGAGAAACAGAAAGATCTTGGAAACTTGTAGGAGATGTACAATTTCTCCGCAGCTAGAGACGTACGTTATAACATCATTGCCTAGTGAAGCATACTGTTAGCACTGTTTGTAGTTTGTAATCATTTGTGACCCTATTCATATGAAGGAGAACTCCATTAGCTTATAGAAACTTGTTTTGGGGTTTGGTTTTGTTGGCTTTTTTGGTTTGTTTTTTGTTTGTTTGGGTTTTTTTTTTGGGGGGGGGGGTTCTGTTTTGTTTTGTTTTGAGACAGAGTCACTAGAGAACTCTAGGTAGCCTGGGACTTTGCCTCCTAAGTGCTGGTATTAAAGGTGTCCACCACCATGCCTGGCCATATAGAAACTTATATCAGCTGGGCTTATTTCCACTCTAAAGTACCTATTTCTTTACATTTTGAAAGAATACCTTATGTTTGGCACATCTTTAGGCTTGAGAGATGGCTAAAGGGTTAAGAGCACTTGGCTGCTCTTGCAGAGAAGGTAACCCCAATTCCATGGAATATGTTGTCCTCTTCAGGCCTCCATGAGCACCAGTAAACACACACACACACCACCACCACCACCACCACCACCACCACAAATAAAATAGTTCTTTTTTAAAAAATGACTCTTCGGTGGTTGTATTTATCAGCCATGACCATGATTTTTTTCTTAGAACAATGAATGGTTGAAAGTACAGCTATGTAAATAGATCACAGGAAACCCTGTCTCAAAAGTCAACAGGAATGATGTGTGGGCTTTTTTGAAATGTCCATGTTTATTCAGCTATAGTAATATATATGCTCCTGATTCAAGGGTAAGTACAGATTAATGTTGTTACCATAAATAAAACACTCATTTCCCCTAAATTCTGAAGAAATCATAAAACAGAAAATGGTAAAGGAAAGTGGGTTTGGATTTATACACAGTTTCATCTAACTAGAGATACTGGATAGGTGTGCTAATTTCTTCCCTCACATGTCTATGGCCACTTTTGGAATTTGTACAAATCCATGTGACAAAGGCTAAAATATAGTGAATTTAGCTGAGACAGGGTCTCTCCTGAGAGGAAGGGGACATGGCTTAGAAGTTGCATGCACTGTCCCTGTTTTTTGCTATAGAAACAGGGTTTTGTCTGTTTGTTTAATTTTTGTTTGAAATTAAACATCAGGGTCTCATTCATTATATAGTCTCAACTGGCTTCAAACTTATGACACCCTTCCTGCCTCTAACGTTCAGGGGTTACAATCAGGAGGTAACATCTTTGGCTCCAAAAATGTTTATGATTCATATCTCCTCCACATTCATTATTAAAAATAAAACAAACTGAGTGTACCTTGTATACAATGGCCACTCTGTTTTTTATTAGATCTGAAGTTCATTTTATATCAATTCAGTTTAACAAACACATGCTAAGTACCTAATACGTATGGCACAGTGGACTGCAAAGCTGTTGGAATTTGGATCTGGACATCTGTCAAAGGCCAGAATGTTAAAGCCTTGGTTCAGCATCATGTGGAGAGCTTGTGAAAACTTTGAAAGGTCATGATAGACCTTCCAGTCATTGGAAGTATGACCTTGACAGGAATAGTGAGACTCCACTGCATGCTCCCCGCTACCATGCACCACCCTACCACAGGCCCAAAAGCAGTGAGTGACTCCACCTGACCCTGAACTTAAACCTCTGAAACTGTGTGCCAAAGCAAATCATTCCTCAGCTGCGACCTCAGGCACTTTGTCACTCCCATGGAAAGCCAACGCAAATGCCAAAGAATCCACTTAGGAAGTTAGCTGATGTTAATTACAACTTATTAAAGTAGGGGTCTGTGTATTTATTTCTTTATTGTTGGTTGGTTTAAGGATTGGGAATTGTGTTGGGGGAGAGTATGTCAGCTCACAGTTTGGTAATACAGTCTTTCATGGCATGGAGGCCCTGGCATCGGGAGCTTGAGGAAGCTGCTCAAGTTGAATCCATACTCAGGAAGCACAGAGGTAAATCTAAGACAGTTTTAATTTCTAAACTTAGAGTACTTTATTTTTGATCTGGAGCTATTTCTTTGATAAGTAAGGAAGTGACTACTTTCCTATCTGTGAGATGTTCCAGGACGATGGTACAAATGGGAAAAGGCCTCTGTCCTTGTCTCCAGGGGCTAGGTCACCCTCTTATTTCTCAGGCAAAGAAATATTAATAACATTTAGAAAATTATATTTATTGTTTGTTTTTTTCTAAAGAAAAGTATAATGTACACTGATGTCAAAATAAAGCAAGATAATAAGGCTTGTAAAGATGTTTTAATTATGCAAATTTGCTGAAGAGCATTCTTTACTAGATACACAAAAATTGCATCCAAATAATCACAAGTCAAGATATCTGGATTATACTGTTAAACACAAAAATGACCAAGTGCAACAAGAGAGGCAAAATGAAAACAAAGACTGGAATGACACTCAACTAACAAACTGATTACTTGCTGGCAAATGGGAAGGAGCAGTTAGAAGAAGCAAGAGTGGGGTGATATTTCTCAACATACACATTTTTTTTGGTTTTGAGTCATATATATTATTTGTTCCAAGGGTTTAAAAACTTTAAAAAGAATACAAGTAGTTATACTTTAAACTGGATTATCAATACATCTTTGTATATCGAAATCAGAAATAACAAAAATATTACAATGGTGCCAATTTTGCCTTTCATTTGTTGGGGCACAAACTGTATAGTTGCATAAGTAGTTAGATCCCGATCACCTTTCCTATTATCATTTAGAGAAAAAAATATTGAAATTACAAAATCAAACAGCCTCAAATTTTTTATTTGGTGTACTGGTCTGTTGCTGCTGTTAGTGTCCGTATACACGTATGTGGGGAAAGGCACACGTGTACACCACGGCGTCTGCAGGTCAGAGGACAGTTTTCAGAATCAGTTCTCTCCTTCCACCTTGTTTAAAGGCACGGTCTCTCTTACTGTTTCTGCCTTGCTCTGTATTCCAGACAAACTGACCTTTAATCCTTCAGGCAACTCTCCTGTCTCTGCCTCCCATTTCACTGAAGGAATGCTGGGATTGCAGATGCATGCCACCACATACAGCTTGGGCAGGGGGATGTTTGAGACAGGGTTTCTGTGTGTAGCCCTGGCTGCTCTGGAACTCAGAGATCCACCTACCTCTGCCCCTCTCTGCCTGGAGAATGCTTGGATTAAAGGTGTGTGTGTGTGCTCTACAACACATTCTGCTTTTTAAATGTGGATTCTAGGGAATTGGACTCAACTAAGTAGGCTTTTGAAGCAAGTGCTTTTACCCACTGAACCATCTTGCTGGCTCACAATTTCTTATTTTACAAAAGTAAACCATGAGTGGTGGCTCTCTTGGGAAATGGAGACGGAGATTTGTGAGTTCAAGGCCATCCATGGCCATATAGGGAGTTCAAGACCAGCCTAGGTTATATGAGACCCTATCTCAAAGGAAAAAGCAAGTTTCAAATATCAGGCCATAACATCAACTGCTGTTGGGTGATACTTTTACACTGTTTGAAGATGTGTTGCTGTAATTGGTTTAATAAAGAGCTGAATGGCCAATAGCTAGGCAGGATTTCCTGGGAAAGGAAAAGGAGTAATCTAGATTCACAGATTATGCCAGATAAATGCCAGGGAGATGACAAGATACGAACAAGTCAGAGTTACAGAATAAAAAAGATAATTAAAAAAAAAAAGAGGTAATGTATTTGGGGGTTTCTCTGTTATGCCCCATCCTGCAGCAGCTCCTAAAAACTCATTTAGAGGCTTCATATTAATTACAAAATGTTTGGCCAACTAGCTCAGGCTTATTACTAACTAGCTCTTACCTTTGACCTATTTCTATTAATCTATGTTTGCCACATGTCTCATGGCTTTATCTGTGCTCTAATAAATCTTGCTCCTCCGATGACTGGCTGGCATCTACTGACTCCACCCCTCCTCATCTGAGGTCTCAGTTTGATTGTTCAGCCTAATCTTATCCTGCCTGGCAATTGGTCAAACAGCTTTTATTATTAACCAATGAGAGAAATATACATTCACAGCATACAGAAAGATCATTCCACAGCAAGCCATGCTCATGGCAAGATGTAGATTAATAAAAATGGATTAATTTAAATGATAAGAACTGGTTAGGGGGAAGTAGGAAAAGACAAGATCTCCTGAATAAATTGAGAGCATGGGGACCTTGGGAGAGGGTTGAAGGGAAGGAGAGAGGCAGGGAGGGGAGCAGAGAAAAATGTAGAGCTCAATAAAAATCAATTAAAAAAGGAAACATACACACGTGTGTGCATATATACATATATATGCAAAATGAATATCAAAAAAGAACTAGTTAGGAACAAGCCTAAGCTATAGGCTGAGCTTTCATAATAAATAATAAGTCTGTGTCATTTTTTAAGAGCTAGCTGGCAGGACTGAGAAAGACTTGCTACAAATACATATCCCCTTATTCTGTCACACCTAATTCAAGTAAGCAGGGAAGCAAAGAACCTGGTTTCTAAAATGAGACTGATTGGCTATGAACTTGGCTTTCTCTTCTATAAAACCATTGAAAGTGGTTTAGCATGCAGTAATAAAACTAGTTTCATAAAAAAGAAATTCACATTTACACATTAATGTACCAACACTCAAGCTAAATATGACAGCATAATTTTATATTTGCCAACCGTTTCTCCTTATTGATATGAAAATTTATAAAAATTAAATACATCTGTATAATGCTATTAAAAAGTGATATGATAAAGCTTTCTTTGGTCTTAATGTTAAAAGCTGAAGGAAAAATTGACTATTATATAATTAAAGACACAGGAGATAAAGAGCATTGAACAATGCAAACAGCAAAACATCATAATCAAACCTCAATAATTGTGTATATGTTCAAATATTTACTAAGAAACAAAAGAGAAGAAATGACTTATTTTTTAAGTTTTGTTTTGCTTTTGACAAATAGAAGCATTTATTGCCATATTGTCCTGTTTTGATATATGTATATATTACAGGATGATCAAATCCAGTGCCTTCACCTCAAATACTATTGACTTGCAATGAAATACTTTTGAAATATACATTAATGATACTCATCACACTAGCAAAAGATCAATAAGATTTATTCCTCTAATTGAAACTTCCTGCCCTGTGATGGTTAAGATCTGGGGGATTTTGCTTTGAAGATTTATTTTTGTTTACATATGTATGTGTGTGCCTAATCTATGTGGAAACCCATAGAGGCCAGAAGAGGTTGTCCAATCCTCAAGTGCTGGAGTTATAGAGGTTGTCAGCTGCCCAACACATGTGCTGAGAAGCAAACTGTGCTCCTCTGGAAGAGACATGCATGCTCTTTAACAACTGAGTCATCTCTCTAGCCCACGGTTTAGTTTTGTCAACTTGGCACAATCTAGAATCACTTCAAAAGGAAATCTCAGTTATGGATTGTCTAGATCAGGTTAGGCCATGGACTTGTTTTTAACAGATTATCTTGATTACATTAAGTGAGAAGACCTGCCCACTGTGGGTGGCACCATACCCTCGGCAAGAAATTCATAGTCCCTTGCTCTGTGTATTTAACTGTTTCAAAACTCCCGCTGCGCTGACTTCCTCACAAAGATGAACTGTAGCCTGGGATTGTAAACTAAAACTTTTCTCTTTGAAGTGACTTTTGTCCAAGCATCTTATCACAGCCAAGAGGTACCAAATTACAACATATTCTTTAAGTGGTACCTCCCCTTTCCCTGTAAACTCCCTACCCCGGGTTCTTATAGCCCACACCCTACTTCAAGGGGTTCAGCTTTTTGAAGTAAGAGTAGGGTAATCTATTTGTAGCACTTGAAAGCTAAAGTTCAAGAGATAGAAGTAACAGCACGGAGGGGAGTCTGTATGCTACAGGAAAGCTGCCTAGTAGTATTTTTTGTTGTTGTTTTCTTTTTCCTTTTTTGGGGGGGTGGGTGGGTGGTTCTTTTTCTTGGGGGAGGATGGTTTTTCAAGTCAGGGTTTCTCTGTGTAACAGCCCTGGCTGTCCTGGAACTCAACTCTGTATACCAGGCTGGCCTCGAACTCACAGAGACATCAACCTGAGTCTCTGCCTCCTGAGTTCTGGGATTAAAAGCATTCGCCGCCACCACCTGTCTCCAGTATTTTCTTGATACGGTAAGGGAGAAATGATGGTACCACGTAGCTTTGTGCTCTGTCAGCTTAGCTAAGGTAGAACGATGGTTTCCAGAATGTCCCTCCTATTGTTGTTTCTATTTAGAGTTGGCATTGAATAGTAAAGAACTTGGGGCTTTGTTCCTAACTCTGGGAGAAAACCTAGATTCTTGGAATTTCTCAAGTTGCACCAGTATTTTCATTACTATTTTCAAATGGTGAGCCCTGAAAGTTTATGCTCCTGAGGTGAACCAAGGTGGAGCCTTCAGGCTGGGACCAGGGCAGCATGCAAAGGTCAACCATGTAATTAAAGGGTTGGGGCTCTAAGCTGCATATGAGCCTGAACCTCCTGGGAGAGAAGCAAGATTGGGTTCAGTGACATAGCCAAAAACTCAGCTCTGGTGGCTACTTTATGGACCTTCAACGCAACCTGGAAAACGTACAAACTTTATTAGTGTATGCTTCAGTGTGTTGGCGTCATGACGCCGTGGGGAGGTGGGGAAAAATCCTTGTGTATTTTCGCCTTGAGAATAAGATCCTGGCTGTCAGCAAGTGCCGTTATCTGCTGAGCCATCTTGTCCGTCTGCCCATAAAAATTCTGAATGGACAATAAAGCTCAGACATGTTTCCTGGCTGACCATGATGCTTTGCTTTGCTAAGAAGGTGATCCAACCTGAGGCCAAGGGGAGAAGACACAGAAGCATCACTTCTGAGAACTTCCCTGTTCTTTTCCTCTGCATCTCCTTTGGGAACTGCTTTTCATTTTGACCTTTTGCTATAATAAAATTGTGTATAGTTTTTTTCCTGAATTCTGAGTCTTTGTAGTAAAATGTCAACACTTAAGGTATAATGGGAACTCCTGAACTTTGTAGCCAATCAGTCAGAACTCTGGGTGGCCTGGGAGTTTCTGCTCTTTTAGCTCATGTCTGAATTGAGGGTGGTCTCAAGAAGACTCTTCACCAGAACTTTGGCCCAACTCTAGGAACTTACTCAGAACATCGATGCTGTTAATCAAACAGAAATGTGTATGAGAACGGGAGACAGAAACTAGTCAGGTATGGTAGGGCCCCCAAAGCAGCACTTCTCAGAATGCCCTCCCTGAGGCCAAGAACACCAGAACAGAGATGTGGCTTCTATTTCTCCCAAATGAGCACCTTTGCCTAAAGGCCAGAAAGAATGTGGATGAAACCAGGCACCCAGGTGGGCACCTGCTACTTTGTTCTCTCCAGGCTTGCCCAGCCCAGTCGTCGTCACATTCCTTTAAAAAGGGGCACTTTTTAAAGGACAGCTTGGTTGCTGTGGAATAATCCTTCTGTACACTGTGAATATGTATTACTTTCATTGGTTAATAAAGAAGCTGATTTGGCCAATAGCAAAGCAAGGCAGGATGGGACAATCAAACTGAGAATGATGGGATGAGGAAGGGTGGCGTCAGAAGAGTCGCCAGTCAGAGCACGAGCTGGAGATGGAAAACAAATTGGACACACAAAATGGGACTGAGGACATGAGCCACAGGGCAGCAGATATTACTAGAAATGGGTTAAGTTTTAAGAGCTAGTTAGTAATAAGCCTCACCTACATGCCAAGTATTTATAATTTATATTAAGCTTCCAAGTCAATTATTTGGGAAGCCACTGCTGGGTATTTGGGAACAAGCAATTGGGACAGGAAAGTTCGGTCTACACTTTATACTTTTTTTTCTGGGACAGATATTTAGTTTATTAGTTCAACTGGGGCAGGGCGATGGTGGTGCACGCCTTTAATCCCAGCACTCGGGAGGCAGAGGCAGGCGGATCTCTGTGAGTTCGAGACCAGCCTGGTCTACAGAGCTAGTTCCAGGACAGGCTCCAAAGCCCAGAGAAACCCTGTCTCGGAGAAAAAAAAAAAAAAAAAAGTTCCAACTGGATAAGACTGAAGGAAAATAATCACTGCATCTTCCAAGGCTAGTCCGTGAGAAGCCATTTAATCCCAATAGTCACACTAGCCTGTCACAGAAACCAGGTGGTATATGCCTTTAATTCCAGTGATGCACTTTTTGTAGGAATACAAAACAGAAGGAGACAGTTCAAAGACACGGTCTCATTCTGAGATTCATGGAAGCAAGATCGCCGTTTCAGACTGAGGTAGAGGTAAAAGCCAGTGGCTGGCTGTTTTACTTTTCTGACCTTCAGGTTGAACCCCAATTTCTGTCTATGGGTTTTATTAATCTGGCTACACTATGCCAAGTGGGGACACAGAGCCTGGACACTTAGAACATCTCACTGTAGAGCACAGATAAAGGAATGTTCATAGCACTATACACCATAACCTATGTTGATAAAGTCTAGCCATGCATCAAGGCAAATCTACAGAAGATACCGTAAGATGGACAATCTTTACCAACCAAAGTGTGAACTGACATGATTCAAAGTACACTGCTAACTTACTGGATACCTCTGACATCATCAGTGTTGCCAAAATAAAGACACATTCTCTTTTTATGTATTTAATATATTAAAAAGGAACATAGTATAAATGCTGTGGTATAAAGAGGATCCACATTTTTCACAGAATTCTTAAAAACGATTTTACAGTGAACAAGCATCTTGAAACATGGAAGTATTATTAAATAAAATTTCAAAAATTGCAGTGAAACATTTTGCCATTTTATCTATCAACATTGCTGTTCTTCTAAAAAGAATTTATCAACACTGTCTTCTTATGTAAAAATATACATGTAGATATTTAACTTCCTGAGTGACTAGTCATACATCAAATATAATTTAATGAAAGGATTTTAAAGTTCTTAGAATGAACTAGTATAGATTTATAATGTATACTTGTGATAAAATTCAAGAGCATACCACAGAATTTGTACTTAAATTCTGAATTAGAAAATGATTTATCCCCAAACAAAACCAATAAACTGTTTTAAATAAACTGTTAATAAAACAGATTACTGAGTTCCATTTTCTCATTTATTAACAAAATGCAGATAGTCATTTCAGACTACCAACTTGGATGCTTCCTACTATATACACCAAAATGATTTCATTACCAAGAAAATCTTTGCAACACAAAAGGGTGAGATAATTCAAATATTTGCTTTATAATACAACCAATCTATACAGTTCATCTTCCCTAGACTGAAGTGACTGGAATGGTGGGACATTCTTTTGTGTAGAATCCTCCCTCTTCAGAAGCCCTGAGGTACAAATGTGGAGCTCAGTCCTGCCTTCTGTAGGAAACTGAAGCTAGGCTTAAACACGTCTCTTTTTCAAAGACAGGTGGAAAACTGTGGGGCTACTCTATACAGTTTTAGAAATATTTCCAGAACAACTTAATGAAAAGGGCCTACAATGGCCCTGTAAAAAATGTCCTTGGAATGCTTGCTAGTGTCGAGATGAGGACCACTTCCCACTTCTACTGCTGTCCCTTCTGCTATCATAGTCATGGTTCCAGCCATCATGACTCCTGTCGTCATAGTAACAATCCTCTCGGCCTCCTCTGTAATAATAGTCGGGCCCATGATCAGAGTAGCGCTGCTCACGACTATAGTGTCTATCTGACAGGTAGGGGTGAGGATTCTGTCTTTTACGCTGTAGTGACAATGTATCTTGGCGCCACTGGGAGCTGGAAGACTGGTTAAAGGGATGACCATGTGATTGACCTGATGGCGAAAATCCCGACTGATCTGCATGTGGAGAACCAAATTTCCCAGCATATGACATCTGTCTGAAAACACTGTTCATCTGAGAGAAAAAAAAATTGAAACATTAATTGTAAGTACTTCTTAACAGCAAAGCCAATGGATTAGTCAGTCAACAATACATAGAATAAAGAAAAATCAAAATCACCCTTGCCCAGATGTATCCCAAGCGAAATGTGATGAATGACATGTGGTCTAATACCAAAGTTTCAGACATACTACTTATTTCCAAGACTATCATAAGCCATCACTCAAAATGACTATACTATGAATCACTATAACAAACACAGGAAACACTAGACACTCACCAGCACTAGGAAAACCTCTGTGAAGGTGGCATACAATCTGAGTGTTAAGAAAATAAACTGAACAAAAAGGAATCTTTACAAGGGAGAAGCACACAGCAGATCCAGAATGGATTCTGAGAAAGACAGCTACAGTAGCAGAAATAGGTCCTGCATCTTAGAAGCTGTTAAGGGTTGATGACAAAAGCTGGACATAATGGCGCACGCCTTTAAACCCAGCAGTCTGGAGGCAGCAACAGGCAGATCTCTGTGAGTTCAAGAGTAGCCTGGTCTACAGAGCTCCAGGACAGCAGTGCTACATAGTGAGACTGCCACAAAAAAGAAAAGAAACATCGTAAGACAGCTGATGTGAGTTTTAGGGTAGGTCTCATATTACAAAAACCACTTCAGGTAAGTTGGTCTAGAAGATACGTGTTAAATTATTACAACTGTAATGATCATGGGAGCCTAAATATTCGACAAAGTAGTAAGAATTAAACAGTTACTTATGCTGAAAGGACATAAGTAATAAAACTGACTGAGAAGTGATAAGTTGTCCGATGTAACAGAAATACTTTAGCCAAAGTACCACTTTGTCTTAACAACTCAATCGGGAAAAAAACTACCTACCACTGCTTGCCGCTGATAATCTTCTGGAGAAGAGAAGGACCTCTGGACCATCTGTGCTGATGGAGTCATGTTACCCACTGTCCTTTCATAGCTGCAAAGAGAAAACAGGAATGATGAGTGGTCATCATTCAACAAACACTCAACACCAGTAAGTCATGAGCAAGACAGTTCTCAATGATGAAAATGATTACGACAAGGACAGTTCCTATGTGTTAGGTGATTGGAATAGCTGGAGATCAGGACAGCCTTTCTGAAAAGGACATATTTAAAGTTCTGTAACATCATGTTTTCTGGGAACACTGTTTTCCTCTTGTGTTACCTATTACCTTTACCAATACAATGGCAGATACAAAGACAACAGGGCTCGTATTAACTACTTGACTCTACAGAACAAAAACGTATTTGTCCTCAAGCCAATGACATCGTTCAGAATGAGATTTATTGTCTAGCTACAAATGAAGGAAATAGTAAAGAAACTAAATTTGACTTTAACTTGAGCAATTAGGGAGGTAGGTATCGCCGAGACATTAAAGCGAAAAGGTTTGGGTAACATTTGTTTCCTCATTTTAGTGTTGGTTTAGACTCGGTGGAGGTAGGGAGGAAAAGGGGGCTCTCTTTTACTTTCTCTGGGGGATTGTGCAAGGGGGAAGGGGGCTCAGAGCAGATCATGTGTCCAGATTCTAAGAGAGTCAAAAATTACAGCTTACTTTATGCCAGAGTATTAAAATAATCCACCCTAGCCTATGATTAAAGTTAAAAAAAAAAGTGGCTAGCATACTTACTCAACCCTCTCAAGAAATTCTAAGAGGAAGATCTTTGCTCCATTTAGGATATCTTTGACTGTTCTATCAAAGTAGCTGAAGAGTGTCAACTGATAAGTGTTAAACACCACTAACTGATTTTGGATGGCAAAAAAGAACACAGGGAAAGCAATGTTTTTGTACTAATGCTTTTTATAATTCCTCCTTCCAACATTTCTCTTCACAGCAGCCATCCAATTCTCTCCAGCTTTGGCAATGCCTTAATCCAAACCAACTTTGATCAACAGTCCCACAAGGTCACTTGCCCATAGCTTTCTAATTGGTATTTCTTTCACTAATGTCTTTTCTAACACATTCTTCTCCCACTGCAACAAGTAACTCGTTAAACTTCTAACTTCGTATCATCATTTGACTTAAAAATATTTTAATGCTTTCTTCCTGTTTAGAATAAATCCTCCAAAACTTGACTGTAGCTCTATGAGACACTTTCTCAGTCTTTATGTACTTCATCAAAATTCCCTATTGCCTTCATTGCACTGACTTCTTTCAGTTCCTCTCATCCATCTGCATCATCTCCTGCTGTTAAAACTCTCTCAAAGCATTTTCTACTTCTCGAGAGAACTAATTACAGTAATTAAACAGGTAGCCACGAAGTACATGTGCTCATCTAAATTTGAAGTTCCACTTGGCAGTGTATCATCCTGTGGCTTCATCAGACCAACCAGGTTTGTCTCCACACACTGCTTAAATCTGGGCAAGTTAACCTCCATTCCATACTTTCTGCACCAAAAGGAGAGAGAGAAATCCTATTTCATGGTTGCTTCGAGAAGTAACGGAGATCATACACAGAAAGGATTTGGTGAGGCGCTCGATAGGTAACAGGTATGTGTTCAATTCTTCAAAGAAAGCCCTTTATGAATGATCATTATGACAAATTTTTTTTGTCTCAATTCCATCTGTTTATATGGGTAGGACGTGTCTTTACAAACACACGTGACTATAGTTGCATTTCATTTAGTGCAAATAACCACACAATCTATCTGCATCCAGCCTCCTTAGGAAACAGAGACATGATATTGATCCAGCAGAGCCAGTGGCAAAACAGCTGGAGCATTCTGAAGGAAATCATTAAACTTTCTGACAAATGACTTAGTGAGAAACAGTACCTGTTAGGAGATGTGGAGGTAGGGCTTAAATTTCCGACATGATGCTGGGGATATGACACACTGGCATCCTGAGAGGCGTGACTACTTCCTAAAACATAATTTAAAATTTCTAATTGAAAACCAAAAGGCCCAACAACAATCTGAAATGTCTCATCCAGTCTAAATTACCCCAAAAGAGATAAACAGTTTAAAAGTAGCACCAACCGCCCTCAAACTAAAACAAAACAAAGAAAACCATCACTCAAATTGCTATAGACTACCTCATGGGTTTTGTAGGTGATACCAGAAAAAGAAAGCATTCCAAACAAGATACTACCTAATGTAGAAACAGCTGATCTGGCCATGCTATTCTCATCTCCACACTGTACTGCGGGACTGCGTGGATGGAAAGCCTTAGCCTATCTTCACAAAACAGCAGCAAAGCCAGGCGGTGGTGGCGCACACCTTTAATCCCAGCATTCGGGAGACAGAGGCAGGCAGATCTCTGTGAGTTCGAGGCCAGCCTGGTCTACAAGAGGTAGTTCCAGGGCAGGCCCCAAAGCTACCGAGAACCCTGTCTCGGAAAAAAAAAAAAAAAAAACCCAGCAGCAACAAAATCACTGTTTGTAAATCATAAAGTACCCTGGGAAATAGTAAAATCTAAAGTATTTCCATCATCAGCTCCCTAATCCAATCTTTAAAATAAAAGTCTGGTCTGGCATCAACCGGTACAATCCCAACACTTGGGAGACAGAAGCAGGAGGATCAAGAGTTCAAGACCAGACTTGGGTACACAGTGAGTTTGAAGCTAGCCTAAAATACCTGTCTTCAGAACAAAATACAAGCAAACCAAAAAACTCCTGAAATAGTAGTAGTGAAAACAAAAGAAACCAAATGCCTCTCTTTATTACCACTATACCTGAGTTATTACCTGATCTAAACTGAATTTTGATGGGTTTCCCAAAAAGTTTGATTCCATTGAGAAGATTCATGGCATAAGGAACAGACACTTCATGTTTGAAATTCACAAATGCAAATTGTTTCAACTTGCCATCTTTATCTTTTGGAATTTTCACCTTTATTACTGGCCCAGCCTACAAAGAAAAGGATTCAGAACTTAAACAAGGCAGTTTCAGGAAAACACGGAAAGTTCAGAATTAAACAATAATGTAAGCACACGGTGGCACATGCCTGTATTGTCAGTAGTCAGGAGGTGCAGGCAGGAGGATTGGTTCAAAGTCAGCCTCCGAGTCCCAGGCTACCAAGGCTACATACAGAGACTGCTCTCTCTCTCAAATACTACAAAGAGAACACAAAGTTTTAAACAATAGTATGTAATCAATGAAAAGTTTCTGCACCCTCATAAGCCTCTTCGCCAATGCAGCAATCCAAATCAGACCAAATCAAACCGAATTAGAAAAAAGTCCAAGTTTAAGGTATAAAACGCTCCAGGATGTTTTTCCAGCGCCCCAAAGAGGAGACAGGAAAAAGAGATCAGAAAACCATGTGTCTGTTTTCTGGAGGGCAGTTTAAATACCCTCTCGGGGAGCCCTCATCATTTGGCAGGCCGAGATATGGCAGGGTTTGGAGAGAGATGGGGGAAGAGGCTTGGGGTGGAACTTACACCAGAACAACCAAGATCTCATTAAAAGCCAAGTGGTGGTGGCACACGCCTTTAATCCCAGCACGCGGGAGGCAGAGGCAGGCAGATCTCTGTGAGTTCGAGGCCAGCCTGGCCTACGAGAGCTAGTTCCAGGACAGGTTCCAAAGCTACAGAGAAACCCTGTCTCTCGAAAAGTTAAAAAAAAAATTGACTTCCGCATCGATCAACTATAACCAGAGATTGAGTCATGAAGCAGGGCAGGATCGGTCTAACTTTTCGGACTTTTTGGATAAACATGCCAATGCTGTTTTCCTACGTTAAGTTTGTAGAGTTTTAGAAACACTTCAATGTCTGCAATTTCATATGCAAGTTAAGCGAACAGAGAAGCGGAAACGTGTGAGACGAAGCAAAGCCCAATAAACTCAAAAAGAAAGCGAGGTACACAGGAAAGGGAAAGCAATGCTGCGGGACCTTCACCGGGACAAAGACGCCGACACCCACATCATCAGACGTCACTTTTGGCCCGAACGCCCCAGGGTTCCGGCCTGGCGCGCTCCGCTCCTGACTTGGGCCCCTGACCGCCCCAGCCGCCCTAGGACCGTGCCCGTGCCTTACCTGGTGGAAGAGCTCGAAGAGGAGCTCCTCGGTCACCTTCGTCTCCAAGTTACCCACGAATAGAGTGCGGTCGGCCTCCGCGGCCGCCGCCCCCATTTCCGCCGGGCTTCCAGACTCGGGCCTAGTCGGACTGCTCGCGGGCGGGCGGGCGTCCGGCCGACCGTACAGCGCTCTTAGAGACACCCGCGTCCTCTCGTTCGGACGTCACGACGTAAACTCCCGTCGCGCGCGAGCGCAGGGCCGCTACGCATGCGCGCGGGAGGAGCCCGTTTCCGGCGGCGGCTCCTTCCGCCATTGCGTTGAAAATGGCGGCTGGGGTCGGTAACGGTTGCCTCCGACGCGGGCTGGCGTGATCTGCGGCGCTGCCGAGGGCCCAGTTTGGTCGACGTTCGGCAAGCAAACACTGCGGGCGGTGTTTGAAGATGGCTCAGAACTCGGCGTCTCTGTCGGCCGGCGATCAAGCCAACAGGGTGGCCTACCGGTCATCCCAGGGAGATCTCGACCAGCCTACCACGGCTTGGGCGATGGTCTCCGGAGACAGCTTCCTGGTGACCAGTCTTGAACCGAATCAGGCAGGATCTCGCCCGCCAGCGCGACCCAGCGTTCGGACCGACAGACGTCGAATGTCCGTCGGTGGCCGCAGCCGAAATCGCCAAGGCAGATTCTCGCCTTACCCGATCCCTGGCGTCAAGCTCGACCTCTTAAGAAGTGTGCTGCAGCAGCGTCTGGTTGCCATGGGAACTGCCCTGGCAGCCCGCATCTCGGCGTAGAACAAATACCTCTCCTCCTCTCCCGTAGCGTGCAAACAAGGCCTCTCTGAAATCATTTGTTGCTGTAACGGCAGTTTTATTTTTACTGGTGTATTTTCACCGAGGTTGGCGGTTTAATATAGCCTATCAAAGTAGAGTTTGGCTGGGCTTAGTGACACACGTTTTTAATCTCAGGAGACGGGCTCTGAGTTCCAGGCCAACCTGTTTTAGCTAGTTTGGGGGTGTCTTAATAGAGATTCTTCTGGGGCCAAGAAGGATGTAGGAGGGATTATCTAAATGACTGAATGTAGTCTCTTGTCCAGACTGGTCGAAACCTGCCATGTATTAAGGATGGTCTTGAAATTGTCCTTCTGCCTGCCTGTGCCTTGGTAGGTGCTGAGATTTACAGGCGTGAGCCACACACCCAGCTTGAGTGACAGTTACTCAATACAGAATCCAGCTGTATCTGATTTCCACAACCCTCCCTGAACTCAAGCTTTCTTAACTATCTTCCTCTTTACCTTAGACTGCCCTTCAATTTGTGTTAGGGAAAACAAATTAACACATTGCTTTATCCTTAACATCTTTCCTCACCACCTCACAGGGTCCCCCTAGCTAACCCCCCTCCCACGTGCTCCGTTTTTCACTAACGTCTACAGACTTCATTTTTTTTTCCCCCCTCAGGGTGTCACTCTGTAGTCCTGGCTGTTCTGGACCAACAAAGTTTCTGCCTCCCAAGTACTGGGATTAGAGGTGTGCCCCACCAGTTCTGGACAGACACGCAAAGCACAAGTACTATTCCAAGTTAAGCCAATGTGCATACTCTTCCAAAGACTTCAAATGGATTGTTATATGTGTCATGTCATTAACTCCAAGTTTTTGTTGTTGGTTTTTGTGTGTTTGTTTTTCGAGACAGGCTTTCTCTGTGTAGCTTTGAAGCCTGTCCTGGCATTAGCTCTTGTATACCAGGCCGGCCTCAAACTCAAAGATCCGCCTGCCTGTCTCCCAAGTGCTGGGATTAAAGGCATGAGCCAACACTGCCCGGTGTGTCTTGTCATTAACTTCCAAGTTTAGTGTGAATGCTGCTACAAAATACTGGTGGGGCCTAGGTTGTGTCCCAGCCACTCCTTATTTTTCTGCTCACTATGATAACCTGAAGTCTTTTGTCTTTACTCTTGAGTCCTGGAACTTAGGGCCTTCCTGTACTGCCCAGGAAGGTCTGGAACTGGAAATCCTACCTAAGCATCCCTAGTGATAGGTGTGTACCTAGCAGCATGTCAACTTCACACATCCCTGCCCTCAAGAGCCATGAATGCATTCTGAATGGAGAAGCTAATAGGAAATGGCCACACTGTTCACTAAATGTAGTAATGCGGTTCGGTATTGGTTGTGATTGCTTCCCATGATACCTGTTACTATGGTTATCTTAGGTGGCTGATCGTTCCTATGCTGTTCCCCAGAGTAGTACTGGGAAAAATTTTGTGGGATTTTTGTTTTGTTCTCAGACCCTTGTCTATTCAGACTCACTTAATTGAGATACAGCAAAGTCACCATATACTACACAGTGATAGAACCACATCTTAAGATGAGAATTTCAGTAGAGTGATTGGTACAGGGAGAAGATCAGAAATCGAGCTAAAGGAAGGATGCTGGCAGAATATTAGCTACTTTTCATTGAGTGTGGCATTGTGTTAGAGGCAGGTGCAGCTGATTGAATTATTCTGTGCCTGCTGTTGTCTGCATTGGGCACTTAGAATGAAGTAGCGAACAAGATACATCTGTGGCTTTGCTCTTATGGCGCTTTATAGTATGTAAGCATATTGATGTTGCTGGGGTAGTCCAAGGTCATCCAGCTGAGGTAGAACTTGTGGCCTTTCAGCCAAGGTCCTTTATCTGAACCATGCAACACAGACACAGCTTGGGGTAGTTACTTTGACAGTTTTTCTGAAGATTATTTATTTGAAACAGAGATTCTTGGTGTAGTTTTGAAGCCTGTCCTGGAACTCACTCTGTAGACCAGAACTCAAGAAATCCTCCTGCCTCTGCCTCCTGAGTATTGGGATTAAAGATGTTCACCACCACCGCCTGGCTAAAGATAATTTATAACAAAATTATCACAGATACCTGAAAGGAAGTTAGCTGAGCTTTAATCAGAAGTCATAGTTGAGAGAATTCCACTTATATGTTATGGGTTTTAGACTGGAGAGGGATAGTGAAATGAAGCTTGAAGAAGTAGCGCAGTCCCAAAAGTTAGAGATGTCTCATGTTGGACAATACCACCTCCAAAGGCAGGAAGTTAGCTACCAGAGAGTTCAGAAGAGGCTGAATCCTGAGTTTATCAAATGCTTTGAGTGCAAAGTAGGGCTAAAGGACTTCATGTCTTGCCCATTTGTCTAATTCTCTACTAAGAAGACATTCTGTTGAAGCTGAACATTGGAAAGTAGGGATTAAGAAATTTTATGATTAAAAAGGATAGTACCTCAGCAAATGAGGGTATATATAGTATGAAAGAGGGGGCTAATTAAAAGATAATGACAGGCTAAGTACTCATCCACCTTGGAGGTGGCTTGGCATTAAATTGTTTATGGAACATATCCTACCTGAGATTTGTGAATGAAGAAACAAAACCTGTCATGAATACCTAAAAGTGCACTTGGGCAAAGGAGGACCTGGAGGGAGTTGTCTTTATTTCTGTTCTGGTGTTTATATGGTCATCAGGAGTCTGGATCTGGTTGGGTAATACTGTAACAAGGTTTATTGTGTTTCCTTGGGGAAAAAAGAGCCTTCACATAAACTCTTGTTATTTTATGTGAGAGTCAATGGATGCCAAATCCTTGTTCTTAGTATGTGGAGAAATGTGGAAGTTAGTGTGTCACAAAGACTATACTGTGAAATCAGGAACCAACATAAACCTTTGAAGTTAGGGGGCTGGAGAGATGGCTCAGAGGTTAAGAGGATTGCCTGCTCTTCCAAAGGTCCTGAGTTCAATTCCCAGCAACCACATGGTGGCTCACAACCATCTGTAATGAGGTCTGGTGCCCCCTTCTGGCCTTCAGGCATACACGCAGACAGAATATTGTATACATAATAAATAAATTAAAAAAAAAACCTTTGAAGTTAGCTGAAATGGATAAGTCAGTGCTGCCAAAAACAGACTGTGTCATTAGGCTCATGCACAGAGTGAGTGGCCTTGCAGTGCTGATCTATGACATGAGTTCTAAGAACAGTCTGGAAAGTTAGCATGTCTTTATAAGCACCTGGGGTTAAGTAGCTGTATGGCTGTGTTGAAGTGGGCTCCTTTTAGAATGCTTTCTGTATAGAATTAAAATTCTAAAAGAACATTCAGGATATTACAAGGAGGCCAGTGGGGCCATTGAGAAAAGGTAGAAGCTTGTGGGAAGCCTGAAGGACCTGAGTTTCATTCCTGGATCCCACAATGAACGGAAGGAGCCTGCTCCCCACAATTGTCCTCTGATCCCTATGCAACAGCTCATGTGCATACACACATGCAGGTACAAAATAATAAATGAGTACTAATTTTTTTAAATGAGACCATTGAAGGGACTAGTAACAAGAAGACCAATGAGCTTTTTTTCCCCTTAGTATTAGATGGTATTTAAAGAGTGGGTGTAGAAGGAAAGGTAGGGGAAGAAAGGAAGGAAATACAAGAAAGAAGAGTGATCATCTGAAGACCTCAGTGTCTTTCTAGCCAAGTCTCACACAGTTCATTTTTCCAGACCCCATTAAGATACATCTTTGGAACTGAGCTGTGGTGACCCAGGTCTTTAATCCCAGCAATCAGAAGGCAGAAACAGGAAGATCTCTTGAATTCAAAGCCAGCCTGGTCTACAGAGCATATTCCATGACAGCCAGGACTGCACACAGAAACCCTGTCTCGAAACACAAGATGCATCTTTGGTCTTTCCAGTTTCTGTAAAAATTGTTTTCTTTTTGTTTGTAAAAAATGCAGAACTTTGAATATGGCTCCGATGCCCCGACCTTTCTGCCTCTCTCTGTTCATTTACAAGGTCTTTCTTCCTCAGCTAATAGCCATGTCATTCCTCAAGTAATCGAATGTTTTGTCCCTGTGATGGCTTCCACTCCCCGACCTGTATGTAGCTCTACACACTCTCTTCTCACACTCTTCCATTTCCCTCCCTCCCCTTGTCACAACCACTCAGTGTTTCTCAGTCTGTTCTCAAATCCTTCACTAGATATAAAAGCTACTGCTTTGGAAATGATGCAAGGACAATGAATTTGGCAAGTGATACATGTTTTATGACCTTAGGTCACCCAATGTGTGACACACGTTAAAAGTTCAAATAGCTTCTTCAGAGGAAGGCACCACTTTGCATTATTTGAAGCAGTGTTTGACAGCTTCTCTGAACATTTATTTTTTGCATATTTCATTCCCAGAGAGATACTCTTCTGCAAGAATAACTGGAGACACTGCTAATGTTTTAGCGAGATACATTTTCTCATATATTGAAAATTATAGAGTGGGGAATAAGTTTTCAAAGTGTTCTTGGACAAAAAGTTTGGTCATCAAGGTACAGAAACCTAAGCTGTTCTGCACAGGATTGACCTGTACCTGTCAATGTCCTGTTGGGCAGGTGGGGGCGGGGGGACAAAAACACAACTGCAGATCCCCAGACACAGGATGGAGACTGATGTTAATAATGACAATGTCTCTCCATGTAGACAGGTAAGCACAGTTATTTCTTGGGGATACTATGATTTTTTTTTTTTAAAAAAAATAATGATTTAGTTGGACTTTTACCCTGGAATATCTGAGGGCAGCGCTCCTTTAGTCAGCACATCTAAATCAGAAAAATATTTTGCCTTTGGGTTCTCAATCACCTCAAAGTCCCTAGTACATAGTGACTAAGAACTTGCACCATTCAACATATATACGTGTGGCTTTCTGTGATCTCACACATCTACATTGTCAGGTCCTGTGGTCCTCTGGGTGGCTGTTCACTTCTGCCGCACACCTAGCTTCCCTCATCCCCTAACTAGGTCACCCTTTGTCTCCCTGTTAAATTAATGATTGAGTCTACAGTGGAAAACCTAATTTTAACCAGGCTAAACTGGAAGTATACGAAACTGAAGAGTTGGGCAAGTGTGATAAGTATTTGATACTGTGCCTTCCTAGCAACTCCTTACCCTCCATCTTTGGTTTTCCTGTCTTGGAGCCCACCCTTTGTTCATGTTATAATGCTTCACACCCAAATCCAGGGGCAGATGCAGTCTGTTCTGTTTCATCTAATGTAAGTTTTTTGGAGACATTCAACATGCCTACTTTTTTTATGCCTATAAAGTCTGCCCTAGGAAATAGTGCTTCTTTAGTGAATGAATGAATAGACTTTATAGACAAGCTGGGCAGTGGCAGCCCATGCCTTTAATATCCCAGCACTCTGGAGGCAAAGGCAGGCGGACTCTGTGAGTTCAAGATCAGTCTGGTCTATTAGAGCTAGTTCCAGAACAGCTAAGACACAGAGAAACCCTGTCTCAAAAAAAAAAAAAAAAAAAAAAAAAAAAAAAGAATCATAGGCTATTTCTCCTTAGAATCAAAACTGAAGAAGGATGCCAAGAAGGCAAGGGCAGTATTTTTTCATTTTAATTTAGCATGTGTATGCAACACTTCATGGCAGCTGTGTGGAGGTCAGAGGCCATCTATCCAAGTCAATTCTGTCATACCACATGGGTTCCAGAGATGGGACTGGTACCAACTACCTCTTGCCTATCAAACCATCTTGCTAGCCATGAGGACAGTATTTTGTTAGCACTTTGGTATAAGATGATCTTACTGGAGTAGATGTGTGTAACATTAAAGCAAATTATGCTTTAAAGTTTGCTTCAATTTTCAACCAAACTGTCTCTGAGACTGTAATAAAAAGATCCTAACCCAAGATTTCAGCTGGCACTTATGCGTGTGAATATTTACAACATCTATCATTTTTGTTATTTATAAATAAGAAAAGTGGAGGCATGGAGAACATTCCTAGAGTAGACTATTAGTAAAGAATGTGGGTACTTCTCCATTCTGTATTGTTGCAATCCACTTCATAGAGGTTGCTCTAGCCATTCTTTAACAATTAAGACTATGGTGCTTAGAGCTATCCCCAGTGACTTGTAATACAAATACCCAGATCCTGACTTTCCATGGTTGGTCTCAGGAAGGACAGATGGTGCTGCAGAGTTTTTTTGTTGTTGTTGTTGTTGTTGTTGTTGTTGTTGTTTTTTGCTTAACAAGATAGTGATATGCCAACTTCTTACCTGTCCAGATAGTGTCCACACAACAAGGTCAAATAAGTGTTACAATAGGGTTCCCATTTTATTTCAAGGTGTTCCCCCTTCTCTCTCCCTTAGAATTTTGCCTGTTTCTGTCTCTCATATGTTCCTTATTAACACTTTCATATTGTCTCTGATCTGATGAGTGTACACCCCACACTTTAAGTTCCTTATTCCCAGTACAACAATGGGAACTTACATAATTTATTCTGATGAAATATAAGAGTAATTGGTGGGCTGAAGAGATAGTGCAATGGTTTTATGTGCCAGCATGAGGACCTGAGTTCAAGTCCCTAGTGCTGACATCAAACTGAGCATGACTACATGGGGCTGTAAACCCAGCAAAGACAGGCAGATCACAGGAGCATGCTAACCAGCCAACCTAGCTAAAATCTAGCTTCAGGTCCAGTGAGAGGCTCTGTCATGCGGGAATCACGGAGATAACAATGAAGGAAGACACATGACATCGTCCTGTGGCTCCCACGGCGCACATATGAAAAACTGAATACAACTTGTTGTAATTCTAAGGAGAAGATGAAATTCTGGGCTGAGGTAGGGGGTAGTGAATAGCATTTCCCTTACCTGGAGTTCAAAGTTGTGTTCCTTATCAAATCAGCAGCAACTGCTCATCTGTTAACAGAGTTTTAATGAGGCTTTATGTATTTCATCTTTGAAAATGTCTTTTTCATACAGATAGATACTGCCAAATACTGATAAGAATCTCTGAGCATATGGTTTAATTGAGTATATTCATTGCTTGGAAGACACTTAGACAATACTATTAAACCCCTCTCTTGATATTTGCCTTTCAGCCTGTCATTACATTGCAGATTAATTGCTTCCAATTGACATTTAGGTGGAAGCTCCTCAATTGCACAGTTAAATGACTTTTGAAATATGAAAAAACTGCACTTTCATCCAATTCCATAAGATGCTGTTAGATTCTAGTTAGAGCACAGAAAATAAATCTACTGAATATCGGTGTGACTACAGAGGCTGTGACTTGTTCTGACGGCACAAGAAGTATCTGGAACAGTTTGAGGTTGTCCTGATCATTTAGGTTGTAAGCTGGTGGTTTTGTTTGTTTGTGTTTTGATGTTAATATCTGTGTGCCTGTATGCAGTTACGCACACCATGTGCATGCAGAAACCAGCAGCAGCCGGAAGACCGTGTCAGATACCCTGCACCTGGAATTAGACGCAGTTGTGAGCACCATTTGGGTGCTGGGAAGCAAACTATGAGCCTTCTCTCCAGCCCCTTAGACTATTTAGCCGATGTTGAAATAACTAAACTGTCTTCTCAGTTTGATATGAAAGTGCGTCACCGCTTAGCTTTAGCAGAGACACATGGAGTCCTGTAGCAAAGACTGCTTTCTAAAGCCAGTCACAGCTCCAGGGCAATGGTCGAGGGTAGTTTTCTCTACCACTTAAAACGCGCAAACTATTCTTAGTTGGAGGGCTGTTTAAATTGGCAGAGGGCAGTATTTAACCTTTGGATCTTGGTTAGCAGAGAATGTTAGTAATTCTTTGCTAAACTGCCCCAAGGCACAAAACTATTTAGTGGTAGAGCAGGGGGTGACCTTTGATCAGGCAGCCTAACCTCTAAGCTAATCCCCTTGGTCATTGTGTTTATTGTCCCAGGGGAGCCAGTAGCCAAATCCTCATGGCTATTTCTCTCCTAACACTCTCATTCTTAAAAAGATGAATTATACATTATTTACTGCATGTAAAAGAAGATATGTGTACTGCCCAGCTTTGGGTCAACTTGACACTACCTAGAGTCATCAGAAAGGAAAGAGCCTCAGTTGAGGAAATCCCTTCATGATATTTAGTTGTAAGGCATTTTTTCCAATTAGTGATGGATAGGGAAAGACATAGCACACTGTGGGTGTGCCCATCCCTGGGCTGGTGGTCCTGGGTTTTATAAGAAGACAGGCTGAGCTTGTCAGGGGACATTAACCAGCAAGCAGCACTCTTCCATGACTTCTGCATCAGCTCCTGCCTCTAGGATCCTACTCTGTTTGAGTTCCTGTCCTGACTCCTTCAATAGTGAATAACAATATGGAAATGTAAGCAAAAAAAAAGGCATTTTCTCCCCAACTTTGTTTTTTTTTTTCAAGACAGGGTTTCTCTGTAGCTTTGGAGCCTGTCCTGGGACTCCCTCTGTAGACCAGGCTGGCCTCGAACTCACAGAGATCCACCTGCCTCTGCCTCCCGAGTGCTGGGATTAAAGGCGTGAACCACCACCATAGGCTCCCCAACTTTCTTTTTTGGCCATAGTGTTTTGTTGCAGCAATAGAAACGCTAAGACAATGAGTAAAATGCAATCAGAGTCCATGCACTTACTTTATCCCTCAATTAAAAGAAAATGTTTTAGGTTCCCCTCTTTAATTCCTTGGGATGACCAGCTCACATCTCCTCCAGATACTGTGCAAAAATTTTTTTGCATTCCCTTGCTTAATTATTTTAACTTACTTTTGCTTTATGAATATCTTTCATGTATAATATAAAGCATTTCACCTGCTTTATAACAACATAAGTGATGTTATTCTGCACGTGTTCTGTGAATAGCTTATTTTCTTGATGCCATTTTGCCAGCTCGTAGTTAAAACTAAAACTACATTTGAATGACTTTTGATAGGACAGGAATTTTCTCTTTTTTTCCTTTTCTTTCTTCTTCTTTTTTTTTTGACAGTAATTTTCAATTACCATTCCCTACAACTATCACACATCGCAGTTCCCCGCCTGACTAATCAAGTCATCTGAGTTTGCAACCCCTCATTTGCCATTCCATGTAGACATTCACATGTTTCTGCACATTTCTTTGGTCATGGGCATTCCATCAGTGTTTTTGTTACACATAATTAATAACTGAATATGAAACTTTGTTAGTCATATAACCTTATCTACATATCTGTATTGGCAAAAACCAATCTGTGATTACTTGAGGGCGGAGACTGAGTGGTAAAGGACACAAAATAATTTTATAAAGAATGATGAGAACATGCTACATTGGATTGTGACGATTATTACATGAGCATATGCCACAGTTAAAACACCATCAAACCATAACTTGGAATAAATGCATTTGTTATAAATAAGTTACATTTAAATAAAGTTAAAAGGTAGACATCATTTAACTTGTGCCTAGGGAGTCTTAGCCACACAAACCTGACAAATGAGATCCCTTGGCTTTTAAAGCCATAGTAAGTCTGCACTTCAGAGTTCCCCTGGGCATTTCAAAGAGCAGAATTCTGCCTTTTGCACCAGATTCTTGTTTGGCATGAAAATGTTCCAAAGACTCTGATCACATTTGCAAGTTCTTAAACAGTTCCTTAACACAGGAAGCCTAAGGATTACATCTTGGAGCATAGTGTGCAGAATGATGACCTATGCCATACACTCTTACTAGGTTATCCCCTAATTGAGCATCTCTTAGGACATGCTCCCTTCACGCCTGCTGCTTTTTCAACTCATTAACAGGCCTGCTGTGGCCAAAGTCAAGAGTTGGCAATCATAGGATAGGCAACAATTTAAATATTTTCTAATAAACTCCTTTCTTCCTCTCTGGTAGCTGTATAACTAAGTCAATAATCTAAATATTTTCTAATAAATTCCTCTCTGGTAACTGTATAACTAAGATAGTGAAACTCTTCTTGTGAGTTATCTAGTCAGATCTGGTCTCTAACGATATTTCACATATCAATTATTACCCACAGTCCACTCCACTTTAGACAAAGTGGAAGATGCTGCCGCCTCACACAGCTTTCAAGATTGTTTTTATGTAGTTTGTTCTGGAAAATCTGCCAAATTAGAACATACTAGCAATTTTGAAAAGAATCCAGTACGTTGATGTGGGAAGACTGTGCATATAAATTCTTTAATTATCTCTCCTTTGGCTTAATTTTAGCTTTGTGGAGTGAGAACAGATCTGCACTTGCTCCGTTGCCATCAAATATTATGGCAGTTCCAACTTGGCTCTTTTCTCGGACTGAGCTCAGAGCAATACAACAGTACTGTGATGTGGACACAGTTTCTCTGCTAAAGCCATCCATTTTAATAAAGTAAAGGTCTAACCCATTGAGCCTGGTTGAATACAGCTGTTGCATTGATCTCTTCTGGCGCTACAGCTTCTGAGTTCATTTCCTTAATCACATTTTCCATACGGGTAAAAGCATGAAGCTGATATCTTCCAGCGTGCATGCATTCTAATTTCAGAATTTAATCAAATGGAACTGGCTTCCTGACAGAGTAAACAGAGCAAACTACTGTATCCAGACCAGCTGCCAAGCTAGCAGCCTGAATTTATTTCCCCTTGCTTTGCAAAATGCATCTTGAATTTTTGAAAACGTAGTCCAGGTTTAAAAAATTTAGCATTTCTGGATCAAGACAAGTCACCTCTAATATTCCACCATAAATACATCCATTAAATTGCAAAAGTCAGGTAGCCAAGCTAATCCTTTCTCCCATGCCCATGGCTGCAGAAGAAATCACACTCCTTTCCCCCTATTGATCACAGCAGTTGTGTACATAGGCCCTTGCCATTTGGACTAATCTAATCCCCCAGAAGGGCAATGGTAACAAACCAAGAGGGAAGAGATAAAATTTCTAGGGAAAATGTACATAATCCCATGAACACAAAACTTAGTGAGTAATTTCAGGGAGTTTGGGCATCTCAAAGACTTCTATCCTGAACACTGAAGCCCCTCCT